GGGATGATGTTGCTCTCAAGAAAATCTGGCATAAGGTGGGAGCGACAGGCTGAATTGGGGCGATGAATGAATGTGTAATCCCTGAGGTCTCACTCCTCTGAGGAAAAATGCAGTATATTTGCATGCGCATAAGCTTGCGAGTGGAAGCCCTCGGAGAAGACTCCTTTAGAGACGGGCTCAGATCAGATAAATGCAACGAATAATAAGTATACAGATAAAAGGTAGATTTGTGAAATGATCCGACAAATCGTTCAAAAAAGTCGCTTTTATCTGAATGAAGACAGAGAAGAGTGTTTTGTGGAGGATAGTGACGAAGATACCCTTTCGTTGTTGTTAGATTCAGGTGACCCGACGAAAATGTATTAGAATGAAATAATTGTAGAAAAGTAAAAATAAAAAGCCAGCAAATATAAAGACAATGTAAGTCGGAAGCGGAGGCTGGTCGAAAGATTAAAACAGGAACGCAATGGATTTGCAGTAAGCTTTGTGAGAAAATTCGGCAAAGAAAGATGAGAATAGTAAACAGAGCTCGGAGCCCTGATGTCTGCAGACAGTGGATAGATGCATGCCTTTTTGCCTGGCATGCTAATATTTTACGACACAGGACAGAAAGTAAAATCTAATTTCAATCCAACAGAGTGAATGTCTCTTAACTGATGAGAGAAAATAGAGTTTCGCAAGATATACTTTTTATAAGCGGTATCAAAAGTATAGTAGCCATTTGACCTTGTTTTTGTAACTTGACCATATTGGCAGAAAGACTTAGAGGAACACATCTTGTCCGGAGCCCATAGTATGCATAATAGTCTTCAGCCGGACCGTCGACTTGGTACATTCCAAGACGTTCTTCCATCTGTTCATCACCATCAGCACGTTGCCTTCTATTGTCTTTTCTGGACATAAGTGCAAAGAAACATCCCAGTTATTTTTCCCATTCCCTCTCCCCATAATTCAGAATCAGTGAGTCGTAGGCTTCTTATGACCATACTCCGGCGTATTCCAATGCTCATTCCATAAGTATGGTTCGACTGAAAGTTAAGAGTTATTCTAGCATGCGATTTCTTTCGGAAAAGTATTTTCTTGGGAGATTCGTGAACGGAGATTAAAGGCTCTTAAACGGCCAGATTTCAGACAGTGATTTTGATTTTGGAGTATCTTTCATTTCGTTTGAAGAGGCGAGTGGAAGGGATTCGTAAGTTGGTTCCCTCGGAAGCTGTGGGGGGATTGCCTTGGAGCTGTGATTGTAGACTTTTGCGAACAGGTCCTCGGCGCAACGCCCTGTGACTCTGATGAATCCTTGTTGAGCTTATGTCCGTCATGTGACGAACATCGTCAGAGCAGGACACCATGTTTAATGATCATTCACCAAAAACACGACGATGCACCAAGGACTTATTCGCACAAATCTATAATCACAGCTTCCGGTGGAACCAAATTACGAATCCCTTACACCCACCTCTTCAAACAAAATGAAAGGTACTCCATCATCAATCTACTAAGGTAGTCTTAGAAGCCCAGTGATTTTTATGTTTTGCAGCGATCAATTGGCAAACAGAGAAAGTGGGGTGGAATGAAGGTCAGGAGCCCTGCAAACGGCACCTGGTACCGGTGATGGAGATGGTTACGCTTCACTTAACCCACTTGTAGCGACACTCGCTTGGGTGACAATGGAGACAGCACGAGCACAGAATTTTATGAGTAGGTAGATGGGACATATGAAGTGGGGTTGAGAGAAAAAGATGCAGCAGAACAAAAATAGGAGCGAAGAGTGGTCAGCGAGGGGGGCTACCTTCATTCGTCACTTTGGTAAACTGGAACTCTGTGCTAATGAGGGCGCCTCCTACTGACGATACCTGCGAATTGTTTAGGAATGTATCAAGTCAATGATCCGATGCTGGAAATCACGAACATTATGGCAGAGGACATAGAACTAGATACATTCCGCAAGGTCTCCCTGACGCTCCGACCATTTTGCGAAAACGAGGTCGAACCAACACAAGTTGCCAAGAATTGTCCTACACATGAAAACAGTGCTTTAAAACATTTCAAGTTCACTAAATTTTAAACTATTTATTTATTTACATTAATTGTTTAATTAATCATTAAATATTTAAAGACATCGCAAAGCCATGTGTATAAAAAAACTTTAGAGGCACTTCTATATGCATACAATGGCGTAAAGATGTAAGATAAAGTCCAAAATAAAAACGCTTACGTCCGAGGAAGATAAAGCTAATGAAATAAGCTAAGGTACAGATGTAGGGTCGGCAGACAAGCAGGCAAGCAAACACTGTCAAGGGAGCAATACGATGTCAAGGAAAGCACCTCATGAAGAGGTATCAGGACTAGATAAACCAATCGATTCGGGCATGGTGTGCTAAGATGAATAAATCTGCTTGAAGGCCAACAAGTGGATGCAGTGGAATTTTAAGGACAACAAAAGTATTGTTATGCTGGCATGCAAAGGAAAAGCGAGAAAGCTATCCATAAAGAGATGGATGAGCTTAATGAGTGGGAAACTACACCGCTCCTCCACAGATAATAAAACTTGTGAGATCAGAATAAAATGCACTCTTCATTGACACCTGCGATCGGACGGAAGATATTGTGTCTTAGGAATACAACTTACTTTTTAATATAACCGCTATGACCAACTGGTAAGGTATCAGCAACCATCGAGTTAACCAAATCAGAAAGATGCCTACATATTGACAGCCTCGGACCGGAACATGCTGTTATCGGCGGAAATGGAGCATGCAAACGTAGGGTGAGTGGAAATAAAGGACTTAAGTAGAAAAAAATAATGCTGAAACAAGGGATATAGGAGCAGAGCTATGGCAACGGCTCTGTCAAGAAAAGGCAGGTTGGTCGTATTTCAGACGGATTGGATTGCAGATATCGACACAGCTGGTCTCAAGCAGAAAGCGAAATCTTGTGGCACCAAGCAGTGTCCACCAAGCAGCAAAACAGAATAACAACGGAAGTCGAAAATAACTAAAAATGGGGAGGGATCGGGAGAATTTTGGCAGTGAAGGACGTTCAGACCTTCCAGGTAGTCTGTAGCCACCGACCAGCGCTACTAGAACCCGATCTCCGATATGTGCCGGCCGGCCAGCCGGTTGCATTGGCCACACGAGACCGCGTCAGAGTGGCATCATCGTCCGTCTCAACAAGGACGTCGCCGTGATATGTATTTTGGCGTGGAAGGGCGCCGCTACGACCCACGGTAGCGTAGATGGAGGAGGCGGTGGACTGTGCATCCAGACTAAGTTGGGGAGCCGGTGGTAGTGAGAACTCGAAAGACGGAGTGGCCAGTCGACTAGAATGGCCTAGGGTTGTGGAAAGAGTAGAAGCAATTGAAGAGTTCCGCGATACCGGGCTAAGACTTAGTCCGGAAGAGGCGAATTTCCTGCCAGACATCCCTCTCGAGCGTCCCTGATCAGTTAGTGGTGTCGGCGGTGTTGACAATGAAGAAGGAAACAGGCTGAGATCACCCTTGAGTTGATTGTACACGTCCAGACCGGTAGCAAAAAGCTGCGCAGACGAAGGGTGTTGTGAATGTCTGCTGTGGAACCGCAACGCAGAAGGTAATGAAGGTGGATATTTGCATTTAAATAAATGTAGTCGAGAGGCAACGTGGGCATCAAAGTGGGCAAGGAGTGGTTGAGTGTACACAAGACCATGAGTGTGTGTACGGGTGAAGACGAGAATGCGGGTAAGGGGCAGGAAATTTCGAAGGAGAACACAAGAGTAGGCATTTGCACATGTATGCGTTTGAGTGTGTATTCGTGCTTAAGTTTGTCTGCATGTGTGAATATGATACTGTAATTGGGTGTGTAAGTAGTTATGCTTTATCGGATGGTCGTCGGTTGCTGAGGCTCGAGTATAGCCAGAAGGTATAGTAACCATGGTCCAACTGATTATTAGCTCCAGAGACGGAGAAAAAGAGTAGAATTGGTCAAGTGAATTGAAAATTATGGCCGCATGAGCATAGGATAAGAAGTTGACGGAGCTAAGGTATGTTTTTACCTAAATACATCATCCTAATGCTCATAAGGAATTAAGTAATAGATCTCGAAGAAGATGAGTAGTTAAAGTCCATATATGAAGGTATCTCTGAGCCATTGCTTAGTTCTGAAAGAAATGGGCGAATATCTTAAAATGGATGAACCTGATTCTCAAGTAGGATGACACATCAAAGAGGTTTCCGACTATCTCACGAAGCATCGTTGCAACGGATGAAAGGTTTGCAAAGGGATGGTTCTCATTGAGTCTTGCATCGCAAAGTTGGAAGACTAGAAAGATTTCCTATCAATGAGATTTGTGCAGAGGTCATCGGCAAACGATCTTCCGACCCAGAAGAATTCCTAATTGGCTTTTGGCTATCATGTTGTGATAAGCATAGTAAAGGCGAACCATTCTTTAGCAAATTTAACCAAATGCTAAACTAAAGTAAACACC